AGTTGTAGACTGTTAGGACTCGTCCCGGTAGCACTGTGCACAGCGTTGTTATATAGACTAGCGACTAGAGCAAGCTTTTCGTCCCAGTCTACCTGATTGGGATTGATGTAGTGCCTCAACAGGTGTTGCACAGCGCGGTTCATTTGTTCAGCCTGGCCATTAGCTTCTGGATGATTTCCAGAAGTCATCTGCAGTTGAGTTCCTTGTTCAGCTGCAGCGGCCTTCCATAATTCACTCGTGAACCTGACGGCCCTGTCACTGACTATAGACTTCGGCAGTCCAAAGTCTCTAACCCAGTTTTCTTTAAATAGCCTGATCATGTATTCGGTATTTGTTGTTTTTGGCATAGCTATTAATCTAGCAAACTTGCTAAACCTATCCACGATGACAAAGATCTGTCTCCATCCCACTCTTGCTGGTGACCAGCGTATCCATGAAGTCCATGGATAAACTTTCACCCGGCCGTTCCGGAATCGGAAGAGGCTTGAGCAGCCCAAGTGGAGCCTGAGTACGGGGCTTGTCTCTCTGGCATACTTGGCAAGTTTCCACGTACAGTTGTGCATCTTTCATCATCGTGGGCCACCAGAACCGCTGCAGCAAGTTGGCTGCGGTCTTCTTGTACCCAAAATGGCCGGTGGCATCATGACACTCGCCTAAAAACAAACTACGCAAAGACTCGCTATTTGGAACGCACAAGCATTTATTCCCTGCCTTCTCTAGGAACAACAATCCATTGACCAACTCAAACTCGGCGGAGGTCTTCTTATCCTTCGCCTCAAGTCTGCGTATGATCTCAGACATAAACTGGTCCTAACGATAGGCTTCCACCAAAGACTGAGTAACATTGTCCATCATATCGAACTCAGTAATCAGCGTACCTGAGAAGTCCGGTCTGCGCGACAAGGCATCAGCAACCTTGTTGTACTCCCCTTTGAGATACTGAGGGTCAAAGTCATATTGCTCAATGACTTCGATCCAACGCTTGAGAGCGTCAGAGAGTACCGRYTGTGTTCTCATCCATCTCRGGGTCTGATGATCAGTCCGGAGGATGAAGAACCGCCCAAGGAGGTAGTGTCTCCAATGGGTGAGAGCCTTGTACACCGCATAGAGTTCCTTCTCATAAGTGGACTTAGCCAACTTCTGAGACGGCATTTTCTTGGACATGTACTCTACTGGCCTCAACTTTGGCCCCTCCTGCTGCGCAAGCACGGCGCCAATGCCATATTGGCTGGCATCCGTTGTAACTATAAACGACTTGTCAGGATCAGGAAGTTTCAAGACTTCATAGTGCGTCAATGCATGCTTCAGATGTCGGAAAGCAGCCTCGCACTTATCTGTCCACTCCCAAGGGGTGTCAAGGCGGGTCAGATCAGTCAAAGGAGCGGCCACTATGYTGTAGTTYTTAACGAAAGTCCTATAGTAGCCTGTCATTCCTAAGAAAGATCTCATCTCAGTCACAGACTGAGGACGTGGCCAATCACGAATGCTGGCCACCTTCGCGTCATCGGGTTTCAACCCTTCCGCGGAGATTTCATGACCCAAGTACAAGATACGGGTGCGGCCAAACTCGCACTTTTCACCGTTGATCTTGAACTTGTGCTGTCGCAGGAGACTGAGAACTTTGTCTAAGTGTGCTACGTGCTCCTCGACAGTCTTACTAAAAATAAGTATGTCATCGAGGTACACGATGACAAACTTATCCAAGTAGTCATGGAATATCCGATTCATAGCGTGCTGAAAGGTGCCAGGAGCATTGCGAAGGCCAAAAGGCATCACCACAAACTCGTATAGACCGTACCTGGTCTGAAATGCGGTTTTGTGTTGATCCTCGGGCCGGATTGCAATC